CCGGTTGTGCATTTCAGGAGATATAAACAAGTTACTATAGTGCAAACATTTATATACTCGTTGAATATATCCACTTCGTTAGCAGTTCCAACGTTTAACAGGAGGTGGATTATAACATACATCACATCTTCATAAGGATAAAGGTTTTGGTTTCCTTTATGACACAAAACTTAATGGATTTTAACAATAACAAAGTCATTAAATCATATCAACACCTTGATTGAGCTTATTGTATAGAGATCAGTTAGCGACAGATAAATTTACTTAGAACACAATAGAACTACTGACAGACTACTGACATAAACAATGAAGTGCTCGAGAAATTGTGTCTTCTGTTAACCCAACGTTCATTGGCTAAGTGATATATATTGCTTCACGTAAACACTACAGCACTACATTAATTTAGTTATTTGCAGCTGAGGCTTAGGGAATAGCTAGAGGCATGTTTAACACCTGATAATATAAACACATGCATATTTTGACGTAAAAGAAAAATACGCAAATATACATTTCAGTCACTATTAACGAAGAGTGAATAGCTACGTTTATAGTTCCAGCTAACCTACTTATCCTAGTTTCCTCTATTAACATTCATAACTGACCTTTTCACGAGCCGAAAACCTATAGCACTGTTACAATAATGTATAGCGAATAGTTGTGTCCATAGGTTTAATTAATCATTGCACCAACTTTCAAATATTCTACATTTCTGTTAACAATCAAAATTAACTTTTTTTTTTGCAAGCCGAGAACGTACGGTTAGAAATATTTCAAACTGTGCCGCAATGTTTTAAGCTACCTGTTCACAAGGTAGTCTTGTCGGAGGAAATTTACTATATCATTAAGCAAAGAAATGAAGGAGATTTGGTTGTCTTAACCTTGTGTTTCATGACCTATCATCATCATAAAGTAAAACATTATAACTACAATTCAGTTGATCTTACGCGCATTTCTAGTCCTAATTTTTCTAAGAATTTTACACAAACAATTGCGCATATCATGTAAAAATGTGCTTACAGTTGTGTACATGACTTTAAAACGAGTGACCCCAGGAAAAAAGAAAGTATTCTCAGCTGTAAACCCAATGTTGACCAACTAACCAATAAAAGTGCTTTATTTCTTATTTGAACAGTAAACGTAAGAAAAAAAAAGCATACTTTAATTGTTTTTTTTTGTAAAACAAGTTGATCTTATGAAATACTGCGTGTGAGAGACTCTTAAGCACTTTACGCCAATTATGCCACAGCTTAGTGACATTTTGGAATTATAGCAGCCAACTGACAGAATTGTAATATTTTCACTGTGCTACGGTTGTACCTCACACTACAAGGAGTGAGAGGATTAAGATGCTCAGCCACACGTTCAGATTGTCAAGCTCAGTAAATTGAAGCATTTACTCAGCTACGCGAACAGGAATTAAGAATAACGGCCGTGATCCATTCACACTGAAGGTGATTAGTAAATTGAGGCGCTGACTCATGTTGTCATGCTACAAGGAATTAACCAATGAAAGACAATTCGGATGTAAATGGTGGTGACCCACAAGTTCACACTGAGGATGATAAGAAAGTAAAGCGCTGGCCCATGTTATCATGCTACAAGGAATTAACCAGTGAAAGTCAACTCCGATGTAAATGTTGGTGACCCACAAGTTCACACTGAGGATGATAAGAAAGTAAAGCGCTGGCCCATGTTATCATGCTACAAGGAATTAACCAATGAAAGGCAATTCGGATGTAAATGGTGGTGACCCACAAGTTCACACTGAGGATGATAAGAAAAGTAAGGCGCTGGCCCATGTTATCATGCTACAAGGAATTAACCAATGAAAGGCAATTCGGATGT